TTGGCCTCCAGAAACATTTTGCTCAAGGGAAATGGGAAGGGTGGATAATTAGCTTATCAATTGCTCCAGTTGTCAGTATTATGATATATATAATCTACCAGGTTTCTGGTAACTTGAAATTTGCAGATGATGGCAATCAGTCTTTGGTCGGCTTTGCATAATTTGACTTGGGCTCCTATCGATCCACTACTTTGGGAAGAATAGGGAAGTTTCACACTAGGATCTCCTTGGCTTCCAACTTATGAGTATCCTCATCAAATGCCAAGTCTTTGAAGAAGCTTAAAACACCTGGAGGCAAAATCCAGAATTTTATAATAAGCTTCCCCCACCAACATGAGAAACAGAAGCCCCTAAAATATTAGAAGATCTTGCCAGCTTATTCAAATCTGGTTTTATTGATCTAGAGGAAATACAGTGTGAGAACTCAGCAGGAGGAGATCACAACGTGTTACTCTACCCAAGTAAACAAGTAAACACAAGGGATGAGTGCAGGTTGTTATCTGTGGTCCAGGACAGTGGGCGAGCAGCACCAGGGTCGACTGAAGTCCACTCAGAGCTTCCAGGGGCAGCAGGTGGCCAGAGAGAGGGACCAGCTCAAAGCCCAAGTCCAGCATCACGACTGAGCCTCTCTCTTCTCACCCTTGGAGAGTCCCGCCTCATTCCCCTCTGCCCTTTCCCCAGAAAGCAGAAAGTACCCAGGACCTGAGTGCGGGATGGGGGAGTGGGGGGCTCCAAGTTCCCATACCCTCTCCAATTCTCTCTACTCTTTATAATAAAAAGCATTTTTGTCAGTATAACAGAGCATATAAATGCTCTATAAACTTCAAGCAATACAGAAATTTTTAAAAAGAAGATATTTACCATAATGTGATGCCTCACGCTGCCCAAGATACCCTAACTTAACAATTTAAAGACACTTCCAGACTTTTCTTCATTTCTGTGTATATTCATACACACATAATTAATAGAATATAAATGGAATGCCGGGCACGGTGGTGCCCGGCTGTAATATCAGTGGCTCAGACTGAGGAGGAGGATCATGAGTTCAAAGCCAGCCTCAGCGAAGGCAAGGTGCTAAGCGAGATCCTGTCTCTAAATAAACTACAAAATAGGGCTGGGGATGTGGCTCAGTGGCCCAGTGCCTGAATTCAATCCCTGGTACACCCCCTTCCCCCCAAAAGGAATATAAATGGAAATATTTTTCTGTTGTAAAAATGTTATTTTACAACATATTATGTTCTTAACATGCTTTCCTACTTAATATAGTAGGTGTTCAATAAAAATTTATTGTATAAATGAGCCATAATTTACTGATTCAATCCCCTGTTGGAGGACTTTTAGGTTGTTTACAGCCATTCAGTAAACATGACTATATATAAAAAGATATGGTTGAGGAGCTGGGTTTGTGGCTCAGCGGTTGCCTAGCATGTGTGAGGCACTGGGTTCGATTCTCGACAACACATATAAAATAAAATAAAGGTCCATCAACAACTAAAAAAAATTTTTTTAGACGGTATGGTTGAAATACAACAGGTACAGAAACCAATGCCTAGCTGCCTTAGTAATTACATGTGTAAATATACTAATAAAACACAGGTGCTGTGGAGAAGGAGCTTGCGTGCCCTCTGGTGTATTTCATGGAGATCCCAGGAATATGTTAATAAATTAGCCTCAAAAAAGACAACTTTCAGACAAGTGTTTGGGGACTTGGGAATAAGGGGTAGCTCTCCCACGTCGCACAACATAACACACTGTTAAGGTGTTATATTGTCTTTAAGAGCTCAGCACGGCAACTCAGCTAAGATAAGCACCAAAATCCAACAGTCCTGACGAAGGGCAACAACTCATTTTAGATAGAACAGGAAAGAAAATCTGCTTCAAGTTCTTTTTAGGAGAGGAAGGGAGGAACCGTTGGGGGTTGGTGTGGGGTGAGGGAAGGAGAGAACAGGAAATGCAAAATGCTGTTTCCTCCTGGTGATTTGGACGGCTCTTGTGGGATTCCATGGTGTTGGGTGGCAGGGCTTTTAAAAGACATGATACTACGACAGATTGACTTCCTTGACTGGTTCCTGGGCCTCAACACACAATGGTTCGCTTCCTGCCACAAGCCTGAGGCTCGGCCACTCCTGGATCAGTCCCAGGGAGCCTGAAACACCCCACAGCAAGAGAGCAAGGATGCCCCGTCCCTGGGCATTGCCATCGCSTTTGCCAAAAGTCTACCCCACAGTGTCCACGGAGTGTAGGGGGCAGCAGTGAGGTTAGTGACATGGCAGGTTGAGCGCAGTGGCTCACGACAGCCCTGGGGCACAGCTCAGCCCTTGCCTGGGCCTGAGGACAGTCACACCAAGCCCCGGATGAGACTGACTCTCATGGTGGCTGTGCCAGGGACAGGACACCCCACTCCGTGGCCCCCACAATGCCAGGGGGAAAGAGGAAAGGGGCTTTTTTGACTTTTCCTTCTTTGCAAAAAAAAAAAAAAAAAGTGCTTCAATGGGACCCTGTAGGTCTTTGAACACAGTCTGGGCGCTGGTGGACAGAGAGGACAATAGGCCAAGGACCCCGTGCGTAATGCCAGGAGGTAGAAACCCAGACCRCGGTGGTGCCGGAGACTGGGGTTGGGGCGGCGGGGGAGCGGATGCGATAGCAAGGAAGGAGTTTCACTGTGAATGAATACTAATTAGTGACATGGATATTAATGATGACAGTAATTAACAGGGGAAAGGAAGGGCTGTCATTGTCCCAGGGTGAGTAATCAATCTTGGCAGGTGATAAATAATGGTTCGGCAAGCTCAGCAGAAAGATAATCCGCTGGCCCCRGGGAGAGCCGGAGTGATGCTGGCAACCTCGCGGTTTCCAGGCAACCCACAAAAAAGAACTATTTTTCTTTTGAGGGAAAAAAAAAAAAACAGGTTAGTGCCTCACCCCGACCCCCAACTTGGGATTACAGTTCTTATTTGATTTCTGCTTTGTTCTTCATTTCCTAGGACAAATGTCGAACTTGTGTAATTTGGAGGAAATGAACATGCACGCACGCATGCGTGTACACACACGCACACACACACACACACACACACATGCACGCACGCACACACACACACTCTTTGTGTCAAAATGCAAATGAATCAGTGTGTTTCTGGTCCAAGGGTTAGCTCATAGATGCCATCCGGGAGCAGGGGTGGGAAGCTTAGAAGTCCCTCTTTTGAGGTTGAAATGCAGGGACATTRAAAGGATGGGGTCAGGGGAGGCTGGACCTGGGGAGAGCCCAGGAAGAGTGGGGTGGACCCTGGCAGCCTACAGAGCGGCTAGGCCACCTTCCTCAGAGCCAGAGAGAATCAGAGGTCCAGATGCTGGAGCTGGCACGGGTCCCACTGCTGGCCACCAGTCAAATCTCTGAGGAATTTGATTTCTGGGAAAAGGGAAATGCTGGGTTAGCCCCTCTGCTGGGTCTCCAGTGGGCCAGCAGGGAGTCTGACCCAGCAGAGCGACTGGCAGACCCTGTCCCTGGCGCCAAGGCCCCCGATCCTAGCAGGACTCGGTAGCTGGAGATGACGCTCCTTCCAGGCTGTTTCCATCCAGCATTCCATGCTGAGGTGACAAAGCCATCTTYAATGGTCCACTCACTGTAAAGTGAGATCTTTGAGTGACAAGTCGTTATGGGACCTTCCAGGAAATCAGACTCTTCCACTCTCCTGGGCCGYGTCTCTCTTAGAATGTGGGTTCTAAGTGTACGTCTCCAAAGGCAGGCAARGAAAGGGACATATTCAAAGGACCGTGGCCAAAATGGTGAGGAGCTCCAGGTCAGGCGAGGCCGCCCCCGCCCTCAGGGATCCAGGCACGTTTCCCCTGGAGAGAGACCTCGGTGGTTCCCCAGGACAGTCCAACATCCCAGTGACTGSTCTCACTCAGTGATCCGGTCTGGGGTCAGGTTTGATTTTCTCTCGTTGGAGAGTAAAACTAAGGCCAAAGGAGGGAAGGGAGAGAGGGGGCAACTTTCCATTCAGAGAAATCAAGGACCCCTTACCTGGAACAGGCTGGTGAGTGGGGAATTTGTGAGTTCCCAGGTGCTAGGTTTTTTCCCCAATGCAGGTGACAGCACCTGTTATCCAGGGTGTTGTGAATGGGGTGAGAGAGTGCACAAGTCCCTGCTGACTCAGGATTTTATATTTGTTAAGATAACACTGGATGCTAAAGCAGATKAAACCTCCAAATTCCGTGGGCTTAACCCAGTGAAGTTTAATTCTAGATCAAGTAAGAGCCTCCAAGGAGCCTTTAATTTTCATGGTTGGAACCAGAGCTCCTTCCATATTGTGGCTCTGCCTCCCTCAGTYCTCAGGTGCTCTCCATCCAGTGGTGGGGGAAGGGAAGGGTGTTGGAGGGTGGGGGCCTACCTACGGGTCTCTATGGTCTAGGTCTGGAAGCTGCTGGTGTCATTTTGATTCACATTCCTTTGGTAGAACTTGCTCCACACCCAGCTTCAGGGGAGTCTGGAAATACAGTCCCGCTCAGGCCCAGTGGTAGAAGGAAGAGGTTTTGGTGAACACATGGAAATTTCCGCCACAGACCCCCAGGGGCACATGATTCAAGATGGGCCCAGGCCAGAAGAGATGAGAGAGTTTCACAACGCTGTGAGGTCACCTGTGTCAGGCAACCCTTGTCGGTAAAGGTAGGAAGCTGGAGAGTCCTCAGGCAGTGCTCTGGGGGCCCRCGTGATGAAGTCACCCTCCCATCTTTATTCCCCGGAAGCCTTCTGTAATTTCTCCCTAGAAATGTGGATATAACTAACCTGAGTCATCCAAAGTGAAATWTTTTTTTTGGAAAAGAAAGTAACTGAAAATGTACCAGTGGAAGAAAAGGGTTGAGTAAGGATGGAAAAATATTCAATATGATCCGCATCTTAGGTGGGCTGATTAAAATTAGGACTCTCTCGGGTAAACACGTTTCTTCTGTCACAGGCTTAAACACCCATGAGGCCTTCAGTGGAAACTGCTTTGTCGTTGCAGGTACTGACGTTGTGCAGTGGCTCATGAAGAACCTGTCCATCGAGGACCCAGGTACTTGACCCTTGACCCCTGGTACCAGCAAACTGGGATCTCTCCTGCATTCTCCCGAGAGAGAACTGGGCTTACCCATGTGAATTGCCRGATGTGAAATCACTCTATTTACAAATAAAATGAATATATTTTTCTCCACTGAATATCGATCTTCAAATTTAAATCACCCTTTGAGGAAATGAGCAACTATTTAGAATGCCAAAGAGCGCGATACATGAACGTGTGAAATGAGATGAATTCTCGTTAGCTGCGGCMATTAAAGATAAGTTGTGGCACTGTCACTGAACAGCCTTCTAGAGCCAGCTCTTAAAATTAGATTGCCTGATCCACAATTAAGATGTTTAATTATTTGCTAAGACGCCTTCTGTTATTTTATTTATTTTTTATTTTTGCTTCTTGCAAGAAGTGAAGGAATGGTAGTTTGTTTTTTTGTTTTGTTTTGTTTTTTTAATTCTAATTGTGCATTTCAATGAGGAGAATCCTGCCAAAACAACAACAAAACCCTGGCTAATAAGACAGTTTCCAAATCTGTCATTCCCCCCCCACCCACCCAGGAAAGAAGCAAGAAAATTTACTTTCAAAGCATAATTAGGAAATGGGAGGACGACTCCAAAAAAATGAAAATTCTACRTAAGTAGAGCTGATTATCCACATGCTATTAGTTAATCATTTTTKAATTGATCCTACACTCCCTCGGTCTTGCTTAACCGGGTATTCTTGATGCCCAAAGGTCATGCTGATGAAGTTCCACTGAYGTGAATCCAGGCTGATGTTCTTGGTGGACACTGGCACTGATGGGAATTATCTGCCCTAGTTTAAGTGGTCCTCAGTCACYATGCTTTCTGAGGGTTTTGTGGGGGTTTTTTCTGAGTGCCCACCCTCGGTGTCTGACCTTCAGATGTGGTGCCTTGCTGGGATCAGGATGTCATCTCTGACATTCTTGCATGTTAACCTGACCGTCCTGATCTGCTGTTGACTATGAATCCATTTGTCTTCAGTTCAGTTAGATATGGTGGCTGGAAATCTGAGTGCCAGGAAAGTGGGTCATTGGTGGAAGTGACCCTAGGCCTCTCACTATTGTTCAGTGACTGCTTACCACTAGCAAGAATCCTTMATTCTGGTCAAGTTCTTAGTGCACCAGAGAAAAATTATAAATGCTAGAGTCCTTTTAAAGGGTAGAACCCACCTATGTGCTTYCCCTCTGCAGCCTGGATGTCCAAGTATCCATTCATGAGACTGGACGGGATAAGCAGCCATCAGCAACCACCAGTTTGGTGACATTTATTTGATGATGGCGGTCTTTTCAAAGAGCACTGGTTTTATGTTGTTGTTCTTTTGGTTTTGGTTTTGTTRCYGYTGTTGTTTGGTAAAAGTAGTTGTTTACTTAACTTACAAACCAAAGGAGACTTTAGAACAAATGAAGATTTGAATAAMTCTTAACTCTGGCAGGACTTCATTTTTTTTTTTAAGCAATTAAAAATACAGTGAAATCATCGACTGGGGTTGTGGCTCCGTGGCCGAGCACTTGCCTAGCATGTGTGAGGCACTAGGTTTGATCCTCAGCACCACATAAAAATAAATAAATAAAATAAATATTTCCAACTACGACTAAAGAAAAATAATTTTTTTAAAAAAGTAGTGAAATCAGCAGAAAACAAATAGTCTGTAAAACTAAAACACTTTGGTTTTTTTTATTTGTTCTTTTTAGACATATATGACAGTTGACATATTATACATACATGGAGTCTAACTTCCCATTCTTGTGGTTGTGCATGATGTGGAGGTAAACTGGTCATGTACTCATATATGAAAGTTATGTCCAGTTCATTCCACCRTCTTTCCTATTCCCATTCCCCCTCCCTTTCCTTCATTCCCCTTTGTCTAATCCAGTGAACTCCTATTCTTCCCTCCCCACCCTCTTATTCTGAGTTAGGATCTGCATATTGGAGAGTACATTCAGCCTTTGATTTTGGAGGGGGATTGGGTTATTTCACTTAGCATGACAGCCTCCAGTTCCATCCATTTACCAACAAATGCCATAGTTTCATTCTTCTTTATGGCTGAGTAATATTTCATTGTGTATATGGACCACATTTTCTTTACCCATTCACCTATTGAAGGGCACCTAGTTTGGTCCATGGCTTCGCTATTGGAACACTGGTTTCTTTACTCTTCTGAAATAATCATTGTATTTTTGATACATATTTTATTTTATTGTTTCTTATTATTGTTATTTTGAAAACTCTATCGGGGTAGTAGGAGGTGAGAATGCTCTGGGCCTCATGAGGAGTTTCGGTGCTGGGCCTGTCTGTGAAGGTCTGTGAGACTCCAGTGCCCAGGGGACCTGGTTTGGGCTTCTGAGTGGCTCAGGATTGGCCAGCTGGTACATAAGGGGGCAGACGAGGTGACGCAGCACCTGGAGAGCGAGGCGTGTCCAACACCTGCCTGCAGCTCCTCCGTTTCTTCTCTTTTGCCAAATTTCTGAGTAAAAACCTTTTTTCAAAGAGTTTAAGCATAAGCTCTAACACGGGTGGCGTGAAGACCACCTTGTTCCTGTATCTTTTTCTTTTGTCCCTGGGAAAGGAGCAGTTGCAGCTGAGGAGGAAGCGTCCCCTCTTGCTGGACCCATTATTCTTGAAGCACACAGTGGGCCTTCCATTTCGGCAAGTCTGTGTCCACAGACTCCACCAACCTGGTGGAAAACAGCCAAGGGGAAGGAAACAGCCCCTGTACTAAACCCGCACAGACTTCGCTTTCTGCCATTATTCCCTAAACGACACAGACTGACAACTAGCAGCATACCGTGGACGTGATATTTGGCATTATAAGTAATCTAGAGATGATTTAAAGTAYAGGGAGAATGCRCAGAGGTYATACACAGATATTATGCCGTTTTATACAAGAGACCTGAGCACCCACAGCTTTTGTATCTGCTGGAGTCCTGGAATGAATCCCCCACAGTTACCCACAGTTACCGAGGGGCAGCTGTTTAGAACTTAAAAAGCAAACTGGTCGTCCCAAGGAGTAAGACTCCATGCATCCTGAACCCACCAGTTGTAAGTGTACACGTCTCCCAAAGGGGAATAGATGATTCTCAATAAGTAGAGCATCTGGATCAGATTCAACCTCTTGAAGGGATCACAGGTAAAGCCAAAACAAATCACTTTTAAACATCCAGAGCTTATGAAATTAATAATTGCTAAGAGACTCCCTGAGCATGTCAATCATTTCCATGTCCAGATATTGCTTTTTAACCAATGAAAGTACTTTGAGGTTTGTAGACCCTTCTTATGTGTAGGAGGGGCATTTAGGTTGAGGTATTTTTTTTCTTAGCTCTGCGTAGGATAAAATATAAATTCTTAACTATCAATAGGAATCTATTTAGGACTGGTGCTCAACAAGATGTCAATGTTACCAAATATATATTTCTTTCAATTTGACACCCCCCTCCCGCCAGGGTCACTGCCCAAAGTACTGTCCTTCTTCCAATTTTCTTAGAAAGTGAATTTTTATCTATGCCCATGAGAGAAGGGGAAACACTGTCACCACTGAGGCGAGTGTTGTTTGCAGGACTGTAACAGGAATTCACAGTCCCCGTGGGCAGCGGGGCCGCGTCCTCACAGCCCAGGGTGATAAAGCAAGATGAAGCGAGGCCATGAATCAAAGCTGGCAACCCTTATTGAATATTTGCCCTGKACCAGACACGGCTAAGCACTTCATGTGAAATATCTCACTTCATTAAATACAAGTTCATCTATGCCAGTGCTCATGTTCGCMACCATGAAGCAAGACCTGGCTTTCTCCTGGGAGATCGTAGGGGTAGGAAGTTAAGAATCATCAGATTTTCACAGCTGGGACCCAGAGGACCCCCCAGCCCTGGACCGTCCTCCTCCTCTGTGGGTGTCTCCCCTCCTGCGCCACCACCAGCAAATGCAATCAYGGCATAAACACAGTGGCCTGGAGGGGAGGACACTGGACAGCCAGTCATCTTGCTCTCTGCCCCTGTACATTTCAGCAAAATCATCCGCTTCCTGATTCTGTCTGTCTCTCTGCAGTTGAAGCAATACACTTGGGAAGCCTTATCGCCGCCCAGGGCTACATCTTTCCAATCTCCGACCACGTTCTCACCATGAAGGATGATGGTACCTTCTATCGTTTCCAGGTAGGGCCCCGGGGCTCCTCCTCCTCAAGCACCTTTTCCCACTTATCATCATCTGAACTCAGATTAGAACCACCTAGAAAATCGAAGGGTGTTCAAGGAAGCAGCATTGGGAAACCCATCCATCTGGACCACGGGTTGACCCACTGAATAAGCGTCAAAGGCGCTCACTGAGAGCCTACTGCTTCAGAGGCATTGCCTAAGCCCTTTAGGATGGCTGTAACAGAATACCATCGACTGGGTAGATTATAAACGCAAGAACTTGGTTTTGCATAATTCTGGGGGCTGGRAAATCCAAGATCAAGGCTGCAGCAGGTTTGGTGTCTGAAGAAGACCTGCTGTTTTACAGAGGGCACCTTCTAACGGCGTCCTCCTACAGCGGACGGGACAAGGGATCTCTTCCAAGCTTYTTCTACAAGGGCACTAACCCTGCTCAGGAGGGATCCACCCTCATGACCTCCTCACCTCGMAAAGTCTCCCAATACCATCACCTTGGGGAGTAGGATTCATTCATGGTGAAGGGTGGGCACCAACATCCAGACCACAGCAGACATGTTGCATGCATTTTCTCACTTATTCTCAGAAAACTGCTGGGGAGGGGCAAATATTGCCCATTTTACAGACCAGAACCTGGAGGAGACCAGAGAACTGTTGTGGCCCTCCTGAATCTAGGAGGCACCTTTGCGTTGGGCCTAGATGACCTTGCTCCTCCTTCGTGCTGGGGTGAGGTTTCTACTTACGCTGCCTCCCCCAGACCCTGCCCAAGAGGGAACAGGGGYACAGATGGTGTGAGAGGTCTTCAGTGGGTTCAAGGGCAAAAAGGAAGCCAGGCTCTGCACCCGGGAGACTGCCAGCCTCTATCTGGTTATTAGACGCCGTGTGTTTCCAGATAAGAATTCTTGACTTCATCCTGCCTCATAAAAACCGTGTGTTTTAAAAGACCGTAGGTGGGAAATTATTGGTAAATATAAAATGATATTAAATGTTATATTACTTTTCTCCCTTTTTGGAGACATGCAACCCTCCAGGTCTGATAGCCAAATAAGGGCTTAATTTAGTGACATAGAGCTGTTCAGTCATATAACTGCTGCTACAGGTTCTGCATACCATCTCATGATGTTAAATGACATAAAATAGAATAAGTAAAATAAAGGTTGTGTCCTCTGGCCCGAGGTTGCCAAATTTAGAGGATTAAAAATACAGATAKGCAGTTTAATTTTAATTCCAGATAAACATAAATATTTTTAAATCTAAGGACGCCCCATATAATATTCAAGTTTAAAACAGGCAGGTGGCCTGTATTTTATGTGGTAAGGGTACTTTGCCTCAATAAACAATAAAAAGCCTCTTAAAAAGAGATTATTGTCTGCCTCATAAACAAAATTTCTTGCTTTTGCATTTACTTTGCTTACCTTGGATTTTATTTCTCAACCCCTAGATTACAATGTTGACTGGCCTCAGCTATGTCAAAGGGTTGGGTGTGGAGTCAGCCAGGAGTTGGGCAGAGGCCTGCTGTGGAGAGGGCCCTGGTGGGTGCAGAGAGGCGGGTGTCTCTAGGTACTGATGCTTAGTACTGTCTTACAGGCTCCTTACTTCTGGCCTTCCAACTGCTGGGAACCTGAGAACACTGACTATGGTGAGAACTGAAGCCACAACTCACCTTCCTGTTACTCCCAGAGGGCAGAAGACAAGTGTCTGGGAAGGAAGGGTTTTGACCCTGCTTGACCCTTTCTGATGYTGTTGACCTTGAAAACACTGAAAGAGGCAGTCCCTTGGGAGAAAAGACACAAAAGGGAAGAAAAGTTAGATCAAGGGTTGTCAATAAGTYCATTCTGCAGGACCATAGAGAACTAGGATCCCGTGGCAGTGTGATGTGACTGGGACTTTTGAACAATCCTTCCAGGAGCAGGGTTTCAGGCAGGGCTGGATCAAGGAGCCACACCTTCCCCTACCCCTTCCTGTTCTCACAGACTTGTTGAAACTTACTRAGAGCTCATCAGTGTTTTTCATAGTTGGAAGTGAGGGGGGAAAGGAAGACAGACCAAAGGGGAGGGTACAGATGTCACCTTGGACTAGGGAAATAAAAAGAGGGTGAAGTTAGAAGCTACATTAAGTAAAGAGACATTTCTATCCAGGCAGGGATCTACCCAACTCAGTGGAGGCTAAGGAATATTTCTATGTAACAATTTTCTGAAGAAATTATACTGTCCCTATACTTAACATAAAGTATATGTGGACCTGGGAGAGYACTGTGCACAGGTTCCTGGGAGGAGTGAGGTCAGCAAGGCCTCGGGCTCAGGGCAGGAGCAGCACTTGGCCATCACAAAGCAAGTGCTTCTGGGCCTGAAAGACTGGCGACAGCCCKACTTGGAATTGGAATCATTAGAGCTCAGCTCTGGGCAGCAGCCTGGGCCCTTGTGAACCGGAATCCAAGATTTTCCCCCGAAGTGGAGGGTGGGAGGCGGTTGAGATCATAGGGGGAGGCGGAGACCAGCCTCCTGGGCCACATCCACGCCATCTTCACTATGTGATGAAGGACACTCTTTCCCTTTCTGTACCTCTTTTCCCCATTTCGTGATCAAGTGGAGATGAACAGAGATAGAAATGACCGTTTATCTCAGGCTCTCATCAAAGCTAAATCATTTTGAGTTCATTTGTGTCCATAGATAGCAAATCAGGTAAAGCTGAGGTGTGGAGGCAAAAGGACTCACCAATGTTTCCAAATCCATTTAGCCAGAAAATCAATGAGTACTTACCAAGTTAGAATTCAGTACAACAGAGGCCGCAGGATCCACCAGCTCCGTTGGCTGTGTGAGCCTGGGAAGTGGCCTGACCTCTCTGTGCCTCAGAAACCTCACATCCAAATCAGAGGGAAAATATTGGCTGTCTCCCAATGTTGCTTTGTTAGGGTCCTGGGAGAAGTCAGTGCTGCCCTGTGGTCACATGGGCACAATGGTCACATTGTGTCCATTTCTGTGGAACAGATTTGACCAAGTCACAGTGTTGCCTGCCCAGAGGGCCAGGCTGGGAGAGACGGCACAGAGGGGAAGAAGGGAGAGGGGAGGATCTGGCCTGAGCMTTCCAAAGCTGCCAGGTGATGAGGCGGGATGGAGAAGACGGAGTSSGGGAGGGGCAGGTGATAGGAAGGCCTCGATAGTAGACATCATTAGAATGGACCCCAAAGCTTGGGGAGCCATCGTAGGTCCCCAGCAACAAGGAAGACTTGAGATACCCCCTGACCGTAAGAATGGGGATATTAACTGAACACCCCTCTTGGCATCATCATGAAAGTCCCTCGGACTGGGCAAGACTGTCACTGCACTCAGTCACGGTGGCCTCACAGCTCTGAGACTGTGCCTGGCACAAGGAGACAGAGCAGTTTTCTTTTCTTTCTTTCTTTCTTTCTTTTTTTTTTTTT